TTCTCCCTCCTCCAATAAATTTATTATAATTATATAATTCATGTATGTATGATATAAATCTACAAGAGATCTGATCACAAATGCTGCAATCTGACTGCTTGCTTTTTATTCCCTGATAAATAATAAGAAGAGTAAGAAGCTTACCAGTGTGCAGGAGTGAACACAACAAACTAATAATACAATCAGCCAGTGCACAGATAATAGAAGGCATGTCATGGCTCATATTTGGATGAAAAAAAACCTTTTTTTCAAGAGCAACATTGTCTCCCTATTTACATGCATGCCATAAAATGTAAAAAGTAAAGGTACTCGGGAAAAAATCACAAATAAGGAAAAAGGAAATAACAACAATCAAAAAATATAAGATGATACAGAAATGGCTAACCCAGGGGAACCAAGAACTCAGCAGCTACACCAATGGAAGGGATTCTTACATCACTAAGGATTCTATTATCCCTTCCCAACTTTTAATCTTCATGGTTGGCCAGGTAGTAATTTTTCTTCGCTAGATCACACTCTTATGACAATACAAATAAACAGGGATCAGAAAATGTTCTTCATAAGATGCGAAAAATACCACAGTCATCCAAGTTTAGACCCAGAGTGGACCAGTAAGGCTACTTCATCTTTTAGGTAAATAGCTGTACTCTACTATACAAAACAGGAATTAATATAGCACATAACATGCAAGTTGAGACATACTCCATATTTGGGGTAGGATTAACCCATATAACAGAGGATTTGGGTACACCTCACTTCTGCACAGGATAAAAATAAAACAATTTTTTTTTTCTCTTTATACAAGATTTTGCTTGAAATAACATTAAGGAAAAACAGTGATTCCTTTTTCCCTGTTTGCATGACTGTGCCAATGTATAGAGAGAAAAATGGTTGTTTTAGTAATTAGAATACCAGGAAGTCAGAAAAAATGTTGGTAGGAATGCCTGCATCACTTGGGATTAACGGGTTTCCTTCTTTCTTAGGATAGATTAATGATTCTTTCTTTTATCTTGGTGCACCCAGTTTTAATGTACTTTTAAAATATGATAAACCAACTGAATGCAGTCTGTGAAAACAGGAAGATTTTCCCTCTTCCAAGGAATACACATATCACTGAGTATTTGGGTATCTCTTCTTGTTTAGGTATATGCTAAGCAAGTCAGTGTTCCTTTCACCCTGGATTGCTGTCTTCTGTATAACTCAATCATGAAAAACTGTTGAACAAGCACTTACAAAAAAATACATTCTATTTTAAAAGAGGTGATGTTATTTTCTTCAGGGGTTTGAGCATCCCTTCACAATATTTGATCTCCAAGGGTAGAAAGTACCTAATATACTTTTTTACCAGTTCCATATTTCCTGGAATAAGTGTCAATGCTCCAATAAGTACCCTCTCCCATATAAGCTTCCACCCCCTTGGCCAAAATGTCAAATAAGCACCCCCCTTGAATAAGAGCCCCTTCATTCCTAACTCTTGCAAATATGCCAGGATACAAAAAAAGAACCTGTTTCTAATGCCGGTTTATTTGTAACTTTTGGGCCTTCAACTACGGTGGTATCAGTAAAGTAGAATAGCTTTTTCCGTTCCAGTTATTTCCATCTCCATGTTCTTGCAAAGTTCCACTATGTGGTTCATCTGTTCCTTCAATATTTGTCCTATGGCTGCACTTTTGGTAAATGCTGTCAACTTCTCAGGCACAACGAGACCATTCTTTAGCCTTCAGGACAAGAAATTTCCATGATTATAAAGTTATTAGGATGCATTCAAAGGAAAGGAATTACAGCTCAATCACAATGTGATCAACAAGCTCCAAACTGTTAGCGCTATGCATATGCTTCATTTTGTAAGTTCCAATCGCATTGTTGTCATACTCCTTGGCTTCTTCCCTGTTTTTCAAGCAAATAATAGTTCCCCTTTTGTTAGAAAAAACAAAAGATGTTAAGATTGACTTTACGTCTGGGTGAATCATGTTGTAGTTTTCATTTTTCTTCTAAAGATTTAGCCAAAACAAAGTTACAGTTCTTTGAAAGAAAAACTCAATTGGTACTCCTCTTGATTAAAGGCCCATTTCCAATCTTGATGCGACGCGCGCCTCGGCCCGACTTCCTATAACACGAAATTCTCTGATCGCTGAAAACCTCTAAAATCGTCTTTCTCAAGAGCCATCCTGGACACATAGTCAACTGTTTTACGGTAAATACATTCGCCGTCCGTCATTTTACAGTTTCCTTACTGTATTTTGAATTTTGTCCGGTAGAATCCGAAGAAAAATTTTTTTAAGTGTCACGCTTGGATCTCTTCGTACTCTGTGAACAGAGTCGGCGAAAAGGACAACCTTCGAATTTTTTCACTTTCTAGAAGCACTTGAGGATTCTAAATGAAGATAAAATATTTTCCAATAGAAATTGGTATTTTTCAAAGAGAAATATGGAAAAATATTAGACTGCCGGACGTTTAGTTATTCGAAGACCGTGCGCGGTGGTGTCCGGTGAAAGTTTTCTTGGTGTCACGCTTGGATCTCTTCGCACTCTGTGTACAAGGTCAGCGAAACGGACAACGTTGGAAGTTTTTCACTTTCTAGAAGCGCTTTAGGATTGTAAATTAAGGTAGAATATTTTCCAACGAGCGCAAGCTCCTCTCCACGGGCAGGAAACTTCAACTGACCCTTGGTCCTACTAAGATGGCAAACTTAAATTTAAAAAAATTGATGAACGAATGAAAACGTGGGGATCAATATTTTCACCTTCTTCGAAATGCTCGCAAAGATTTTCGTGTTCCTTCTTCGCAACAACCGATCCATAAGCGTTTACTGCCTCGGAATCTACTAAATCAATGGATTCATCTAATTCCATACCGGATTAAAACGTATAGAACTGTTTTAAACACAATTATTTTGACAAGCTCTTCAAGCGCATCGAAGAAAACACGGTAGGTATTTTGAGACAACGTGACAAGGTAAAAAAATAACTGACCAATCAGAGGTGCTATTAAACAAAAGCGGTGGTTCAAAACAAAAGCAAACGACTGCATTGCATCAAGGTTGGAAATGGGCCTTTAAGTGCCCTCCTTCAAATAAGCACTCCCCCCCCCCCTTTTTAGTCAAATTTTAAATAAGCCCCCGAAAACTTATTCAAGAAAATATGGTATTTAACAAAGTTGGTACAAAAGTAATAATGAATATGAGAGCAATCTTCACAGTAATGAACTCTACTTTAGCAGTGGTGAAAATAAGTCCTTTAAAAAAATACAGGCCTGTGCGCGATTTGAACCCACAAGCTCTGCAATACCAATGCAGTTCTCAACCAACTGAGCTAAGAAGCCAAGTGGGAGTTGGTCATATGTTGGTTCCTAATAACCTATATAGTAATAATGATAATAGAAATTTACAAGTGAGAAAAATGGTGAAAGAAATTTACTATTGACATGTAACATGTTTCACTGATGTTACAATATAAATGAAGATTGCTTCCTTTTTTTACTGTGCTTTACTACTTAGTCAATCAAGTCCATTTAAGACCAAAAACTGCTGACCATTCCAATCAACTGCATGGGAAAAATACAATATATTTTAATTAGAACCTTTATTATAAGAACATTCAGGCTGAGATAAACCAACATTTTAAGAACATACTAAGAACATACCTGAGCTGAGAGTCAGTTATTATTTATTATTATTTTATGATTAACAAAGTAACAAAATTAAGTTTGCAATTCTACCCAAGATTTCTTAACACCCAAAGACAAATGCCAAGACACTTTTCTTACTTGTGGTAAACTTCTGACAACATTGCAAGGGTCAGTGGAACAATAAGAATATTTCACACACACAAATAGTAAGTAAGTCAGAAAAATTATATATGATAGTTCACAGCCCCAGAGTTAATAAAAAAGCACCAGTGTTCAGTCATTTTTTCAGTTTCAAGTGAAAGACAAACGTGAAATAGACTGAAAAACCTATCACTGAGCAAAATCGTCCTTCTGTATTGTGGCACATTTAACTGATACCCATTTACCTCCTAAATATTTTACATGTGAAAAAACCCACCTAAAACTACTGACTGATGGGTCTTTTTAAGACATCTCACCACAAATTAAATGGACACTTCGCTTCACACACGAGTGCGAGAATAAGCTTTGGAAGGCAATTTTTGACGTCTGCAAGCAATTTTTATGTACACGACATATTGAAATGCACGCCATGTTACTTTCCCTAGTCTTCTTTTTTCTCTCAATATTATCGACTTTTGGTGTTCCGGAGGGGATACCGAAAATCTTGGTATTCTGGGTACGATACGGGCATACCCTGAGATACCCAAAACGCTATGACAGCGGAAAGAATAGAGGGCAAGAACTTAGTCGTATGTCACCAGCCCATCAATAGGGTCAGATAAATCATGCTCGAAAATTTGAGCATTATGCTTCAGAGCGTCACCCCTGAAGACAAAACGATATGCCAAAAATTATTCTCAAAATTTTCTTTATGATCGCAATTAAAAAATAGCTTTAGGAGCCCTCAATCCTCATTCATCCCGACCACCAAAAGGTTAAACTTGCTAAGAACATCTCAGAATATCTCTCTTGTCGAACTGTTAGTCTAGGGAATTTTAAAGAAGTTTAGTCATTATACCGGCATCATGCTCGATGTTCTGATTATAGCATTATGTCCGAAATCACGACGGCATAATCTATCTGACCCTACCCATGAGAGTAGGAGCCTCTTATTGAGTCATTGTTTCACACGTGTTTTCGAACAACGTATTCAGCGAGCGAATTCGATACAAAACAAGAAGCCGCTTTAACCGATGATTTAGGAAGATTTACAGTGAAAGATTCCTTCCTATTTTTTTTTACCCAGTGTTCTGCAACCTCTAAAAATAAATGGAAAATACTAACACTTTGGCATTTAAGAGCAATTCCTCTGCTTGATCTTCATGTCTCAGCAGGGAGCAGTGAATCAGGGGGGATTTAGAACAATACAAGAATCAAGCAGGAAAGATTTAAGTCAGACTTTGGGGTCAATCTGTTTTGGTTACAAACGCTAATTAGAAGGAATACATTCGGTCCTGTTAGAGGCACTTTAAATTGAGTTTCTCATCAAAAGGATAATATAGGTATGATTAGTATGTTTAAACTTTGATGACATTTCATCGCTTTGAGTTCCGGTAACGCTAGTAATCATGATTTATTTCTAACGCAGTTTCTCTACCTATTAAGGTAATACCACTCCATTGAGCCTGAAAGTAATTCGATTGAGGATTATAGAGCAAACGTAGTGATTCCACAGGCCGAAAGAACATTTTAAAGATTACATTTCTAAGAACCGCGACGTCTTTCAAAATATGGTCGAGGCGGCTTTCCAATTATGAAATAACAATCAGTGTCAAGACCTCGGGGGCTTTGTTTGCTCTTGTACAAATATCTGTCGGAAATATGACAAACCACTGTCAAGGACCACAAAATTCTTCGACTGAAAGTCAATATTTAGGACAAGCCGTGATTCATTTAAATACGATAGCTAGCGTCCTGTGCAGCCAGTAAAGACCAGGCATTAAAACCGAGATTAACACCTTTTGAAGATGCACATGCATGTTTTCACGACAGTCCGGAGGTCTTAGGGAGACAGATACTTTTAACAGCGCTAACCGCAGCGGATTGAAGGTCTTTCTGTACAGACAATGAAGAGCGATATTCTCTTGCACTGATTCTTTGTCACAAGTAGCCGTTCATTCTGTGACTTTTCTGGATCGGCTTAAAGCAACGCTATCCCTGTTATTTAGTTATTGCGCGGTTGACGCCTTGCGTTACAAGTGATACGGTATGCCGAGCTTGCCCCGAAGACCCTAAGAGTAGTACATTTCGGTTCATATTGCTGGATCAGGCGAGTGTTTATCCTTTGCCGTCGAGAACTCGGTCGAAGAATTTCCGGCTGGGCTCGAATACAGAGTATGTGAACCACACTACACAAATATTATGTTTACCTTGGAGAAAAAACTACAAGCTACTACTACTACTGGTCACCGAAGAATTTGAATTGGATCCCGGAGGGCAATTAGCGCAGCCAGCGATCACACAATGAGTGAAATTCGTAAATCAGAAGGATTCACCTTGTTGGTTCTCGAGGTTTTGATAATCATGCTAAATACTCTAGCAATTATTGTGATTGTCCGCTTCAAACAGAAATACAATCCAGATATTTTGATTTTCACATTGGCCGTTGCAGATCTACTAAAGGCGCTCATTCCACTGAACATGACTCTAGTAGCATATTTGAGGGGCAACGAAATGAAGGAAGGATCGCCGTCGTGTATGATCTTTGGTTGGACAGCTTTCACGCTAAACTGTGGAATAATGCTCGTGATGACAATAATGGCTATTGATAGATATGTTGCGATGTGTATGCCTTTTAGGTATAAGGAATATCTCCCGAAAAAACGACTTATTTACATAATCATTGGAGTCTTCTTCTTCAGTGGAGCCCACTCCATGTTGCCTTTGACAGGGATCGGTAAAATGAGGTCCTATAGCAACGGCAGCTTTTGCCATTTTGACTTCGATTCCACGAGACCTGCTAGTATGGGTTACAGTATCTTTATTCTGGCCCTCGGGTTTTCGATGCTAGCTGTAGTGATATTTTGCTACACACGTGTCATGTATAGCGTCAAAGGATTAATGCGTCGCCAACGTCGAATGTCCACATCCACACATGACATAGACGGTTCAGACAAGAAAAGACAACAGATGAACCAAATGTTCGCTCGTCTTATGATCGTTATGATGGTGGCCTTCTGTGTATCGTGGCTTCTCTTCTTGGTAAGTTTGTATATGACTGTGTATTTTTTTAACCTTTGATTAACATCCTTAGCTATCATGTGATTTGGACCGTTTTCAAGGAACCTTCCCGATTTAGGCTATTGTTATGGATGTATTCTTCACGATGAAAGCAGTTTTCAAAGCAATGTTTAGTATTTTCTGAGTTTCTCCAGAGTAAAATCGTTATTAGGGTTTCGCTGGGTTTTGCAATGTTTATCAATTGATCCTTTAAGTTTTAGAAATCAAACGAATATGACACGACATCTTTCGATTGTTGGTGCAATCATTCACTTTCTGTATGTCTCGAAACCGTTCGTCGATGAAGTTCTTCGTAAACCTGCTCAGGCAAAATATACTTCCTTTTGTATCTTCATTTTATATCCCCACATGTGCAAACTGAACTCCTGGCCTAGTTCTATTATCATAAATGAAATCGTTGACGACGGGGATTCTGAAAATATGCATGGCAACAAGCAAGTTCTTCGACTGACTAGACAAATACAGCTAACTGCTATAAATAAAATAGAATAGTTCGCATGCTATTATTTTCCGTATGTGGCCTAACGCGAATATGTATAGAAAACGGAAAAGCGAGATCCAAACTAAATACGCTTGATTATTGTTGAAAAGAGCAACCGAAAATCATAATAATGTCAGAAAGGCTATTGAAGCTGAAGTTTTATGCGCAGAACCTGACAGAGACCTTAATGTAACCTGAACAGCCTTCGCATCTTTTGCATAGCAAATATTTTTCTTAGTCGCTGCTCTGTAATAAGTACCCTGATTGGTTCCTGTTGTTTTAATGTTTTCCCTTTCATTTCTTAATGGTGTTAAAATAAATCGGCCATTTTAGCTGACAGTTGGTGACCTGTAAAAGACGCTAAGCTGAACTTCGCCCAGAATATTGCGTGTTGAAGGTTGAGGTCCATTCAATAGTCTCATTTGTCGCGTGTTTCTCAGTCTCCTTCGCTAAGCGACTATTGGTAAATTGTGACAGTTGGAAAATTGGCTCGACATCAAGCCGATCTTTGCTCAGAAAATTGCGTGAGAAAGGTCGAGTTCCATTAATTGTCTCATTTGTCTCATGTTTCAATTGTTATGACAGAAAACAGATCTTCCTTCCGTATTGTGTTAAATGATACACAGTTTGCATTCCCTCCGTTTTGAATAAAAGCGTTATCAAAGGAGCGCTGTGGTTTCTGCTTTCCTGATAACCCAAAGAAGATGCTCTGTAGTAAATGAATGTATATCCTAGATGTTTAATCTGATATGGAGAGTAACGTAAACCAATTTAAGAATCCTTGGTATTTTAACAAACACGAGTGAAAGGGCCCGCACGTCCGGAACTTGTCCCACTTTGCATTGTATGAAGCATCAGAATAATTTAGTGCTGTTTACCCCCAGCACTTTTTCAGTTTTACCCTACAGGCTGCCAGTGCCTATCTGTAGTCCTAGGTAAGAAGAGGCCTTGTTAGAGTAAAGTGTCTTACTGATAAACACAGCACAGTGACCTAGCCGAGGATCGATCAGAACTGGATACTTCGATCCAGTTCGGTAAACATCGGGCCAACCTGCCTGAACAGTATCTTCGAGGTTTTCTCATATTTTGACTTACGTTTTACCTTCAACGATTTGATTCCATATCATTTTCTGAAAAGCAATGTTCTTAGACAAAGACGGGAAATAAATTGAACTTGACTTACACATTTGAAAACCATCGTCAAAAAATAATTCTGGAATCATTAAACCCCATTCTATTTCAATTTGTCCTATCCTAATGATACCCACGAACACTTTTAAAATAGCGCTAGATAGAAAGATGAAACTCCTCCCATCTGCAAGATTGTTAGATAAAGTTGTGTCAAAACTTGGATTGTCCGCTTTTGGGAAAATTATGAAACTATGCTTTACAAAAACAAATAACAGGGGATTTCAGTAAAAGATTATTAAAAATTATGATTGATACTTCCTTGTTTTCGCGTTAAGGGGATTGCTGCCGCAATGTTTGGATTAAGTGAACTTTTGACTAGATGTTGCTTGGAATAGTTTGGAAACAAGTCAACACAGAGATTCTTGAGCTCATTTAAAACTAACAGAGAGCCTAAAAGGGGCTATGTAATTTTGTCCTCTATGAGCATCTCCTACGCAAAACCACTGGTAAAACAAATAACGTGAGCGCAAATACTACTACATGTACCTTTAGTTAAGGGAGTGGTTATTCATGCATGAATTTGATGAGCAAATTTCGAATTTCATGTAATGTGGAAATGTTTATTATATTTTAAGCGGTCGTTTTGATTGAACATCGTAAGGGCGTCATGGAAAAGTGATCATCTTTTTCTTATCAGATCGTCGTTCTTCAACACGTGAGCGGCTGGTTTGAAATCCCTCCTTTGGCACACTTCTGGTCGATGCGGTTAGCTGTTTTAAACTCTGTTTTAAACCCAATTATTGGTGCAGCTATGTGCAAGCCGTACAGGAGAGGATACTTGTTTATTATATGCACATGTCTTCGCTGCTGCTGCGGTTTTCGCTATAACATGAAAGGTATGCCAAATACAATGTACACCCACTTCCAGCTGGGGAAACGTCAACTACGATTTTGTGTTTGGCCTTAGTGTTGTATATGAAGGTTTAGGTATCTTAAGATGGTAACTTGGAAAAACAAGCAAGGAAGAACACAAAACAAAACAGAGATAGTGTAATAAGCCGATACATTCTAAGCTAACCCTGCTTTCCGTCATCGGGAATTCAGTGTTTGTCACCGTTTGCCCTGCGAGTAAGTCTCGTTTCCAAAGTCTTATGAAACTGTCATCCTCTGATGCTAAGTAGAAATTATGAAAATTCTTTAGCCTCCCAGCGGTGTAGATTTCGTAGGAGTGACACAACAACCTGGCAATCTCGATGAAAATCAAACTCTCGGAAATAAAAAAATCAAAGTTCCATTATTTCACTGATGATGTTGATGGTGGTGCCTCCTTTCATAACTAGGAGAAGTTTGTCACCTCATGCAAACATCTTAAAGACCTGTAGAGACACCTCTTGTTGAATAATGGATTGGTTTATAGCGGAGCTCGCGGAGTGTAGCCCCATAATTGTACAAAATAGTAGTAACCCATCAAGCCGAAAAAATTTGGATGTACGACCGTACGACCGTACAAGGCGCTACTTTTAACAAGCGTGGTCAACTGTACTGCGGGCACGCCGACGCCACGGCTTTGTCCAGTAGTCCTGTGGTCAGTACACTGGGCTCCGAGTCGGACGACCCGGGTTCTAGTCCTGGCCGGGGCAAGGCGTCGTGCCCTTGAGACGTGCGGGAAAAAAAAATGCGAGCTCCGCTTTTAAGCTTGGCTAAATCTATATATTACACGTGAACGTTTAAACCACCCCTACTTGTGGCGTGACACCATCGTAAGTGGACAACCATTTTTATCGCTGTCATTACACAATCGTAGTTTACCACCTGCAGGCAAAACTCCTCTTTACGTCCATATACGTGACCAGCCCCACAGACCCACAAGGTTTTCGATCATGAGATCTGCAATTTTAATTTTTTATCATATTTTCCCTATCTCAATATTTTCAGATCCATGGAAACACACCAGAAGATTGTCCACTTGCTCACGGACCAGCTATGTAGGAGATAAAAATAAACCAGGTAAAAGCCCGACCGAGAGCGACAAAATCAGGAACGTGCCCTCTTTTACCAGCTATAATGATTCTGGAATTGATCCTGACAGCAATGAATACGAAGGGAGCTTCGGGTATCAACAGGCTGGAATTATGAATACTACTTGTGAACTGGATAATACTCCTGCCACACGTCATGCCAAAAAACGGCCCAGACTCACCCAGAAGCGCATCTCTTTCAAAGATGAGGTGGAGTTGGAAAAATTAGCAGAACTGGCCCTTGGGGAAACCGAGGCGCAGAATGATACCGTGGGAACATCCGACTCACAACAGTTCTCAATGGCATCTTCAGTTGATGTTCAAAGAAATCTAGTTATCACCAGATCTGATGATAACTACCAAGGTAATAGGACTGAAAGGGGCCTCAAAAATACCTCTGATGAAACCCATCTAATTGCAGTGTCTATGGGCACAGAAAGTGTAATTCAAGTTAGTTCAGATGAGAAGCAGAGGGGGAATCGAGATGCTTCTGGTAAGTAACGCGTTAGATCGTATAATATTGTTTTAGAGAAGCAATAGTAGGAAAAGAAGAATCGTCCTACAGCTCTAAAACAAACTTTATTTTGAAAAACAAACGTGCCCGTACCAACACACACAAAGAGTTACACTTAACCTTTTAAGTACATGAAACTGAAAAAAAAGTTCCAAATTCACTGGAAACTAGAAAAGGCGAAGTATGCTCCAGAAAGCGTGTAATTTTTATCTCCCCTATTAAAGCGCATAGTGCAGTTATGAAACTGAAAAATATCGCAATTTTCTAGTGTCCTGACTGGTCCCAATCAAGGGTATTAGCTCATATGCCGTTTCACCCAATATGGAAAATAGTACCGCTAAATGTCACAAGCTGAGTTTCTTTTTTGGCTGCAGTCGAACGCTTGTTTCGAGCAACGAAAAAGAAGTAAATAAATATTAATCAATTCCATCTCTTCTAATCAAACCATGTAACTAGGTTTTTCATGGAAATCTTGTTTCCCAGTAATAAGCCTGGAGAAAGGATTATATGCAAACAATTTCTTGTCAAATCGTGGTCAGTGGTCGAAGAATGAAGAAGAAGGAAAAGTTTCTGTATCATGTAAGGGACCTTTACTAAGAGCGAATTCCCATCCTGTGCGCTTCTCATTGATTAGTGTGTTTTTTTAATACTTTCTGTAGGAAGCAAAGAGAAATTAACAGAGGACACTACACCCAACAGTCACTGTAACAACGGAAGTGGAACATATTTAAATGGACACATGAAGTCAATGGAAGACAAAACTGGAAAAAATTATGTAAACTCTAGGAATAGCTTTTACCAAGAGCAATCACACAAACATTCACCAATCCACACAATCCAAGTCACTCATTTTGGAGTTGACAAGAACTCCAATATAAACACAGCAACGTTGAAATCACCAATTTTGACCGACAACCATAGATCAAAATCTCCCTCCGTTTTCTTGCCATTTTCACCCAGGAGTAGTTCGTTTATTGAAAGGGTTCGGAGGACATCAGCGCCAGAACGGAAGCTGCGATCTCAGTCACTTTCAAAGGACGATGGTTCACTGGACGCGCCCCTTTCAAGCTGTATTGAAAGTATTTCAAAGAAAACAAAACCAAAAAACTACGATTCAACAAAGAAACAACGTGGTACTGATCTAAGAACTGGGGCATTGTTTGACATTCGGAGAACTAAAGCTGATGAAGAGCTGTCATTGGACTTCTCTCCACACCTTGGTAAATCTAGGAGCTTCGAATCAGTATTAAGCAGCAGCGACCAGCGCAGGTTAGATGAGCCAGAGTTCAGGGATCTTATCGTATCACCTCGTCGGGGACGTTCATATGCTGTCAACGATGAACTTTCTCAAGGGCTTTGCAACCACAGCTATTCTGAATCTGATCTCACCTCTACTTCCCCAGAGACAGTTTTCCTGACCGAAAACCCCTCATCTCGAGGACACAAGGCATCACACACAACTGGAGTACAAGGTAAGAATCTCAGAGAGCAATGCAACGTTCAGCTTAAAGATCCCTGTATATAAGGGCGACATAAACTTCACGTTACCTCAGTTCTGAAAAGAAAAGAGGACCTTTCTGGCCTTTCCTTTTGGGCATTGACAACCCGAGGTATCAGGAGAGGTTATCCATAACATGAATTAGTGAGTCTCTGGCACCGTAAAGCATGCATATGCACCGTTTCTTCCTCCTATATGCATATTATTTGTAAGCAACTATTGAACCAATTCATTCTCCTCTAGCCATGGCGGCCAATCATTCTCAGTTCAGTTACACGATTTCTTACTTTGTAATTTTCAGGGGATGCAAAAAGATATCAAAGCGGAGAACAAATTCCACAAAACATACTACCCTCACCAGACAGGATTTACAGACAACTCAGCGATTTGAATAAAGAAGAACTTGCCGAAGAGTTCTTCTGTTGAGTTATGAAAAAAATCAGTTGACTGTCAAACCTTCACAAGCCAATATGGCCTTTTTAACAAAAAAGTGAATGAATTCTACTTTTCTTTCGCCTACGGCATTTCTTGATATGAAGGAACACTGTGCTTCTGGAATTTTCAGACTTTTCTCTCTAGTTTGGTTGTTTTCTGGTTTCGCCTTTCGTTTCAGAAATGGAAACAGCCGTTCATCATTAGCATAATTAAACATATTAGTTAATAAAAGATGGATTTTTTAGCCGTATAACGGTCCTTAGTGTCCTGAATCATTAACTGTAGGGTCGATTTTATCGATGAAAAGTTTCTTGCTGAATCTCGTGCCTTGATCTCGAATGTAACAGCGTCTGATGTTAAAATAACTTTTGAATAAAACAGGAACAGCCCCTCAGTGAAGGCATTTATTGCCTATTTAATCTGTGGCCCTCATGTCTCTCGGTAAGCGGATTTCATCCTAATTGTTCGTTGATAGCATCACCAGACAATTCATGAAACTGTTTTTTAGACAAATCTATCTAATTTTTCTTGCGCACGTTCGGTTTTGATTTGGTTTTCATAACCTCATAACCTCAGCCATGCCTGGTGACGTCACAGTACTCCAGCAGCGGTAGATTCATGGATTTATAAAAGCGATTTGCAGAGTCTCCTGTGAATAACAGTCTCACTCGTGAAAGAATTTCTTGTTTCCGAGATAACTTAGTTGCGACATGTTTAAGATATTCATTATATACTTCTCAAGCATAAAACCGGCCAAATACTTGAATGCTGTGGAATGTTTAAGTCCGCCGCAGCTCCAGATATCTGCAGTCAGTGATTGATAGGTAATCAGAGAACCAGGCCATGAGAGGTCCGCACTCTTTACTTCTTTAATTTTTGTAGGAGACCTCCAGGAACAAGGGTATCGAGAGCTTTTCTCTGCCTTTCAAGTAAGTACCGCTAGCATTGCCAAACCGATACGTAACTGATTCAAAAACTCCGAAAATTATGTTTTTATGGGTTATTTCATTATCATGTAAATTTGTTTATCTACTAACCTGTCTATTCACTCAGTTTTTGCTTGTTTTAGTTAGATTTAGATCTCTGGGTATTATATACTTCGAAAAAGAGAAGTTTTTGCGATTTTATTCAATTAAAATCCAGTAAGGCTATCATGACGACGATAACTCGTATCATGTTAGAAGTAAAACTCTAACACCCGTTGTTTTGTTGTCTCTTTCTTTACTCACTCTTATTACTCAAGTTATTACAACGGGGACTAGCTCTGATCTCTGTAGGAAAGTGTGGGTCACCGCTTATAAAGGTGACACTTACTGAGCTGTCGATCTCTAACCTTCGTCATACTTTTACACTTAACTAGCGAATCACGCTAAACTATGCAGAGCGGAGTTTACACATTAAGTAGATACCTTCGCGATGTTTATAAAGTAGAGTCATTTTCTTAGTAATTAATCATCTCTTAGCAACGTAATGAAAATATACCGATATCTAGCTGCAAACCGCAGTTTACGCAAAGACATCTGTCTCCATGTCAAGTACAAATAAGGAAAAGGTAACCAAACTCTACCTGTAAGATAAGACCGCCAAAAGCAATAAGAAATGATCAACTGGCTTATTACAATGTTTACTGAATGGCTTATGCTAATATATTACTTCCATTCATTTTCCAACATCAATATGGAAAACCCTTACAATGTTTTTCGATTAGATATATTACTACTTTTATCGTTTAATAATCAGTCATGGGATATGTCTAATATGCAGTCACCTAAGATTAAAAGATCAGGAAATGGATGTAATATGCTTCGGCTTTTATAACTGACCTTACCTCTAGTGCCATAGTTACCGTTGGTGCTAGGAGTTGGATATTTGTCCCATCGAGCTTTGCGTGGAAAGAATTATCACGAAGTTATCCTCATCGTTTGATCAATGTGACCCTTGCAGCAAAGTATGTGTTGCCGCCTAAAACAATCTCGTACGTCGCATTTGTTTTCATGTTATTGCTTCCTCATCTAAGTGGGACGATTTGTTTTTCCATAGCGGTACTTTTCCGTGAGAAATGAAGAGTAAAATTAGCCCTATACGTAAAGTTCGTCATCTCTGCAAAGTCTTGGTTTCAGCCCTCTCAGCTGATTTTCGCTAGACTTTTGAAATGTCGCCTTAAGCATTCACTCCTGAGCAGCATTAAACCAACATTTCAGACTGCAGGTTTCAAAACTTGCAGTCCGAAACAACAGAAATATAGCACTGAATTCCGACTTAGTTTCGTTCATCCATCATTTAAAATAAATTTTAACAGCTTTTTAATTTTATAGTGAACAGAAACGAATCACTCTCTTTAGCTCACGCGGTTCCAATGTTGCCTTCAAATAAGTTACAGGAAGCTACGTTGCCGTGTGAAATGGGGAAAGTTATTGAGGAGTTCTTCTAAGGATTACATGGATCAAGAGATGCCCAAGGCACTTGAACGACTTTCCATTGGTGTAGACATTCAAACTCCTTTGCAGTCGATGTACAAATATTGGGAAGAAGGATTTATGCAAGCACTGTAAGGGTGTAAATTAGGTTGATAAGGGAATGTTACTCAATGGTTGTGAAGAAAGACATTACTGTAACCATGAAGTGGTAAAACTTTGGTTACATCGTTGTCCACAGAAGCAGAGATACAATGTAGATCTTAATATTAAGCCTCCCCCACCTGAAGAGGCTAGCACCTCTCTTTTCACTCCGAATAAGTCTGATTTAAACCTAACGAAGTCTACTTCTACTACTACTGGACCCTAGTGTTTAGTGCAACGTAACCCTTACAACTCTAACTCAGTTGATGTTTCAATGTTGCTGCTAAATTTTGATAATCATTCAGAGACATAAAATTAGCATTTACCTAAGGAATGTGAAATTACTGCTATACTATACGTATTATATCGATCTGGAAATTTCATTCATTCCTTCCTCAATCAAACGAGCGCGAGTTCATAGCTACAGAACTAAACAGCTTTCAAAACTTTCTTCTCTCAATGGTTTACTTTGACCTTTAATAAAGTCGTCCAAACGTCCCTTCTCAAGGCAAGATCTGTTTCCAGTTGGCGGGGCTTATCACCCGCTGAGAGGCTGGATCGAGGGTGCCCTAATATCAGCCCGCAATGCTCTGCGAGAAGGATTAGAGTTGGAAAGAGTCGATGACTTTGAATCCACACGGAAAGCTGAGATTTCATAAGAACACGTCCGTTATTGAAACATAAACCGAAGCCTGTTTCCTTAGAAAAACTAATTTCACTTGAATACTTTGTTACAAGCAGTAAATAATCTATTGACACTTAATGTCTGGTGACTAACACGGCACATATTTGAAGGTATATTAAATATTAAAACATATTCACTGTTTAAAGTCACTTAAAAGGTTAATTTGTGAAAGTTACCTGTAACGAATAAAATGTTGGTTACCATGTTCAAGTTATTATCCTTTAAATTTGACAATAAAACGACAGAAATAACGACAAAACTTTTGTTTTATTCCTACACAAAGTGATTCCCTCATCTAATTAAACTACTGCTCGCTAAAACGTGGTTTGGCACATCCACATTAAAAGGATGATCGCCCTGAGAAACTCGATACCTTTGACTAACAAAAGACTTGCATCAAAATAGTACTATTTCCATGCTTTTCCAGTGGTGCTGATACAACTAGTCCATGATCAACCTCCCTCTGCAATCCTGGCATGTTTTCCTTTTCCTTTTATTTCTCAAGTCATTATTGTGATGATATTTTCTTTAAGTTTTGGATATTAAACTTGCATTATCTATCTCTACATTAACGAGAGGCTCATTTAATTACTCCACTTTTCTGTTGATGCAAGTTCCCAATAGGCATCCCCAGCTTCAATTAGACAACACTACGTAACCACAGATTGACCCGTCGGCTAACCAAGTCACACTTAAATACGTTCTCGTCATTTCGGCTTGTGAAGATAGCGCAGAGAAAGATATGTCAAAATCCTGAAAACCACTATAAACACCAAAAGCGCGCCTACATTCTCGCCTACACCTCTGGACACGTTCAGTTTTTTCAAAATTTCTATTCCCTCTATAGTGGTTCCATTGTTCCTGCACCCAGCATATGATGAGTCTTCCCCTTGGCATCTGCACATGGTAAGAAAGATTTTTTTAAGATAACAACGACACCGACTTCAAACACTGACTTGGCGCCGGTTGATTCCAAAAAAAATATTGCATCTAACCACAGAAAGATAAATATTGATATATTAATCACAATTCAAAAATAAAAAAAACCAGATTATCAAACTCGTTTTTTAAAGTTATAGACACATACAGGGTTTTTCAAAGAGCCTGTTGTGTTACTACGGTAACCATAGAGAAACAACGAAAACAAAGTGTAATAACTTACCTAAATGTGGGAGAAGAGCTGAATTCAATGCTAAGGGCTGCTTCATACGAATAAGCTATGTAAGCAGTGTACTGGAACCAAGATAGCCAAGACGGTATGTTTTTCTGGTAAAATCCCCCCAGCAACATACAACTCAGGCCATAAACAGCAGCGACTACTATTGACTTCTTGAACTCCATTACTGTTGCACCGATACACAAACCTACAGACTGAACATCAAAGCGGCATCAACTGCACGGAATCATTACAAAATAAGAGAGAAGGAAAGTAAACTTAAAATAAACGAGCGAAAGAGAACTGAAAGTTAGACAGTGTAATCCTTTGTTATTAAGAATGATAGACATTTGTCTAATTTTACTTTTTTATGTTGTGATTTTCATAGCGGGTCGTAATAATGATTTAACTCTAACCCTATGCCAGTAAGACAATTATAGTTTCAAACGCATGACTTAGGAAAGTACAGAGAGAAACACGTGTAAGCTACGTGTAACTCACTAGAGCATTACCAGCTAAAGGTCTAAAACGAGGGTGGAGCCTGTACTGCAGAGGTGTACCCCAATTTCTCTACATTTTATAGCTAGCATAATTTTACAGCTAGAAGTATTACTATTCCTTCATCTTGACGGGATGCCAGTCAATCCGCAGGTAACCTCAGTACTCTTTTTAGGCTGCTAAATTATTCCGCCACATACAGTGAAAGATAAACCCGTTTAGACTGGGCTAGGCACTGTATTTGAATGAACATGCAGACTATTCCAAGGGGCATTAATTGTTTAGTTATTACACCTCTCATGATCATGCACACAGAACCAGAAAAACGTCTCACCTGCCCTGTGATGGCAGTTAACAAAACCACAGAGAGTGTACCAAGGAAAGCCTCGCTCCTGTTTAGTCCCGCCATCCAATACACAATGATCATGAACAGAGTCGGGTAACATAAGATCAGTGGTAATTCGCTTAACGACTTGGCTAAATAGTAGGCAGACAGTCTGTAATAACCAGCAGCTCGTTCTTTCCTCACGACAGTTCTTTCATTAGGAACTGAAAGTTAGCCAAGAAAAGTAAATAAATGACAGAAAACAGCCTCAGAGAGAATCAAACTGTCAAACTAAAGTTGATAAAAATGATTATTCATTAAAAATAGAGTGCAACATACTCACACGACATCAGTGAACTGAAGAGGGAAGTAAAGTTCCAGTAAACAACGCAAAAAAATAGCTGCCAAAAAAGAAAACAAAGATACAATTGTCGGAATCAATATATCCTCAAAACATTTTCCTTTATGATCAAATTCAAAACCTCTCCCAGATTAAGCAATGAATGACAACAATAACAACAACATTAACATACCAGTGCATATCTGTCTTCAATACTCTGCTCTTTGTAGGGAAGCTGAAACCAGATCAGGGCCATTATGGAAGCAAGAAGTATATGCTGAAAATAAGGTTATAAAATCAAATGTTCAGCGCTTTCAAAAAAACGTGACATATATTGGAATTAGGCTAAGAAAGTACGGTGGCGCTCCTTTGCTCCTTCATGGAGAGAAATAACATTTCGAAAGCAAAATGAAAGTGTTCAGCGAGTGAAGCAGTTAGCTTGGCCAACTGCTTCATTTCACATTTCCTTTTTATGTTTTCAAACCCAACTGGAGGCTTGTTTACAAGCTATAACATTTTATAGAAAAAGTCTTCTTTCGTTTATTTAAATTCTACCACGTATTTGCATACAATCGGAGGTCACCTCAGATAGCAAGGATGCAACTCACTGCTATCTCAGGCGTGCCTTCCGTCGAGATTTCCATCTCTACGGCATCATGCCGCTGACAGACGATAGTGGGGACCTTAACGGTGATAAACTATTAGCTGAAGATCTGGTTTATGCAGATACTTCCGACAAAGGCACAGAAAAAAAAAATTAAGTAATCATGGCAGCCGTGCCTCCCACAATTAAGATTGACATTTCTATGTCTTCAGCCGATGTCAAGCACCTTTAATCAGGCATACTAAATATAACTAAAAGGCTTGATAAATTGGAGGAAAACCCTTCCTCGAAGGGTAAGGGCGCTGGAAGACGGAGTCAGAAACCGCAAAATGACCTTCCCGCCAAAGATTTCTCTAGCTCCACGTGAGAGCAAAACGTTTCCGACAAGGAGGAAATTTAACTGCTCATGGCTTAAGTAGTCAGCGACCATGATAAACCCGGGCAGAAGGACGAAGATGAAAACTCACGGAACTGAAAAAGCTTACGAGTCAAAAGGCTCAAAATGGGAAATAATAAAAAAAAAAAAACCCACAACTTCCTAAGCTCCTTAGCAAAATGTTCCGAAACCATTTGGCGACAGGCAAACTCTGATTGAATGCAAATGCCGGATAAAATTGTAAAATTAACGAGACCTGTCTGTTTGATTAAGATTGTTACTGTACCATTTGTAGGACAGGAGGTCACATCCCACCATGTCTCATTCCTGTAAATGCTACGGTAGAATCTCAGTCAAACCCTGACTTCAAATAAATCTCGTTTAATTTTACAATTATCAATTTATCAGCTTTGTAACAGGAGGGAGGATCCATGTGAGAGGCAAGCACAAGATTCGAGTGCCAAACAAGAGGTGTAGAGTTTCCGGTTTTCTCTTCATGCTTCCCGCGCCCTTAAGCCTCTGCTCCGTCGAAAATCAATTTTTTTTGCCTGTTTGGTAGGCTTGAGGTACAATTTTTTTTTTGGCCTTTTACCCTTAGGAATCAAAGGAACATACCTACCTGTGTGAAATTCAGTTTGGAGAGAATGTCAGGTTTGGACTGCTTAAAAGTTCTTTGCAAGAGAACTGTGAATTGTGTCCAAAAACTGGTAGGCCATGATGTGGAAATATCAGAATATGGCGATGAATAATCTTCATCTTCATCATCTTGATCATCAATATCTATTCTGGAATAATCATTCGAGGTACTACGCATATATGTGACAACAGACACATGAAAATCTACTGAGGATACCCGAGCCAATGTGTGGACTTTTGGGAGAAGATCAGAAGATTTAGTGAGCGAACCTCTCCTGCTTTTCCAAAAGGTCTTCGATACAGATGATTTGGGACTTGAGGCCAAACGATTTGAACCGTCAATCCTCTCGCAAACCTCTAAACGCACTTCGTTAATACCTGAAGGTACGTGTCCATTCACTGTTTTATTTTCTTTTTTCATGTTTAGCGTTTCCTTTGATGTGATTTTAGCTTCACCACCCAGCCTTGGAGAATCGTTCAGCACATTTTGGTTGACGGCCTGTGACATCTCTGCTCTTAAATCTTCATATCTATTCCCTGCAGAACATGCCTCACTTTCTATTTCAAGGACTTCAGAATTATCATGCACCAGATCTAGATGAAAATGGCCAGACATGTCTTCTGTGTTTGGTAATTCTTCAATTGCTGTTTGTTGCCCATCTTTCTGATAAGCATTCTGATCAAGCGACTTTTCAGAGCTTCTGTAGCTTCTACTTGCTATATCATGTGCCTCGTCAGCGTCATTGCTCTCTGGAGTAGGACTTGAGGCATCAGTTCTTCCTGGTCTATACTCACTGGACACTGTTGAGTTTTTCTGATGTCTTTTCTGTCTGATGTTACACATATAAATATTTGTTTCTTTGCCTTAAGGACTATGCAACTATTTCAATTATAACTGCATGGTGTACAGCATTTCAATGCAAAGTAATTAAACTACTGTCAAGGTGAAAGAAATCTGAATATGAAAGCAATCTTTGCAGCAGTGAACATTACTTGAGTAGTAGTGAAAATAAGACCTGTACTAGATTTGATCTGCAATACTGGTGAAGTACTCTACCAACTGAACTAACAAGCCTACTGTCATTATGTTGGCTGGAAAAAAACACTTAACGTGATGAATAAATGATTGTGAATATATTAAAATCATATATGTGAGCAGCGGTTTATGAAATGGATATGAAAGCAATCTTTGCAATGATGAACACTACTTGAGCAGTAATGGAATAAGACCTGAAAAAATTCAGGCCTGTGCAGAATTTGAACCTGTTTTCATGTTCATTTCTTAAACCACACTTCACATATAAGATATCCAGTTCACAGTCAAGAAAAGAAATCTGTTGTTGAATATGTCTCTTGTATGAAAGCAGCTTCACCAACCTTTCAGCCCAACCTCGGACAATCCTTTCTTGTACTTTCTCTCCCTCAGTCACCTTTTCCACTGGTGCAGAATAGAGAGCAATTGAATCAAAAATAAAAATATGGAAATAGCTTCTCAAAATAAAATTAATATGCAGAACTACACAATTATTTAACCATTATAAATCATTTGGTACAACATACACTTACATATAAAATCAGCTGGGTTGAAATGTGCATCACAAACCATACCAATACTCTCAAAGAAATCAAGAACTCTGTTCGCTTTGCCATAGTATGCAACCTGTTGTTGAAAAAAACACAAACAAATAAAGAAGCAAGTCTGTGGAGCAAATTGAAGAAGAAAATGCCTCTCTTTTGGCTACAATACTTATTAATTCATACTGTTTGTAAGAATGCTACATACACTCAAAACCCTTCCGAAAATGTTGAATTGTACAAGTAATTGTTAATACTTGTACATGTGTAAAGTATTTTGGATTTTGTCTAAAATGATTAACTGTTCCAATCCCAATCTTCTCAAAGACACTTCATTTGTCTATCTAGGAACACCTTGACTTGCTTGGATACTAATTCTTATACCTTGTACCTACACAGTCAACATAGTTCACATCGAGGTTGGGGAAGGAGCCTGTTTTCCTTACATGAGCTCCATAACAGACAAGTTGGTTAATGTCCAGGATTATTGGTGAAATTTTTCAACCTCCATAAACAAATTAAGATTTTATAATTTACATTTTTTGAGCCATAATTTACAAAGATTCATAAACATCATTAGAAAAATCTCCACAAGTTTTTATTAATAATGTAAATTGTGTAGCTGTTTTGATTAAATCCTATCACTGAATAACAAAAATGTTACTAGTGCAAATAAATAACAAACTTCTGATGTCTGAGCTCTTGCAGTCTAACCTTTCCTCCACATAGCAATAAAACCTTGTCAAACATGTAAAAGATCTGGCTTGATGGCTGGTGAATGGTGGTTACCACTGTCTTTTTTTCTCTGGCTGCAAAGCTCTTCAGAGTCTTAACAAGGTTCAAGGCATTGCTAGAGTCTAACCCAGAAGTTGGTTCCTGGCAAAATAAAAGTAAGAATTTCCTATCTCGAATTAGAAATCAATCTCCTTTTTGTGAAAACATTTCATCAAAATTGTAAGAAAATACACCTTTATCACACAGTGCCATCTTGGATTGCATGGCGCACCAAATCAAGGCTGGACAGGCATAAGGTATAGGGTTGTGTTACATTACAGTGTTTTGAGTGAAGACTACAGCAAGCTTGGCCTACGATCATTGCTGCATTAATTTCTGTAATAACAACAAACGAAATAAAAGTGGTGAGAATTAATCTTTCTTCAACTTTGTTGGTTCAATCTGGTTCAATAGTCATAAAAGAGCTGCTGGCTGAGTCTTCACTAGAAAGGGAAAGTGGATTGCTAATAAGATGTGCTTTTAACAGCTCACCTGTCACAATGCAACTCTTACCCTGAAATCCAGCCCTTCATCTCGCCCTGTAGCTGCAACCCATTTTGATCTCAATAAATCATTTGCAGGATATTAGTGCAGCAATGATCATGGGTCATGCTTGCTTGTAATCTTCACTCAAAACACTGTAATGTGAAACCCTATACCTTATGCCCATCCACCCTTGATTTGGTGAGCCATGCAATCCAAGATGGCACTGCATGATAAAGGTATATAAAAAAAAAAAGAAAAACTCACATCAAGAAAAACCAAGGAAGGATTTGTTATGAGCTCACAGCCAATGTTTGCTCTCTTTTTCTCACCTGGAAGGTAGTAAGGAATATGAGATTTGGAAATCTTAACTATGTGTAAATACTAGGTGAAAAACTGTCATTGTGAAAAAAATTATAACTTCATATGCTCCCTAAAAATAAAATATTACTTCCTGTAGCTGCGCTATGGACCATAAAATGAACTGAAATTGATAAACCATAGGAATGTATGTGCTACTCTAGACCTTCAAGTGTCATTCTTCTACAGATTGAATAAATTTTATTGAATAAATTAAATAGCTTGGTTTCTCAGTTCTTTCAATGCCATTTCTTCACAGTTTAGCAAAACAAACAACAATACAATTGCATGGTCTTCTGTTTGTGAATAAGAAATTTTAAGTTACTGCATTTTGGGTACTTAACATATAATAAATGAAATTAATTCCTTGCTCAAGAGACCTAAATCTTGACCTAATTGGGAAAGTCAGCAAACATGTGGAACCTGCCAATATGTTTGCACATCCAAGGGACAAGTCTCACCCAGACTAAAATGAATTACACAGTTCTGAAGATTTCCACTATCTGTATTTCAGCTGAATTGCTTACTAAGTGTACACACAGGTAATACTGGGAAACATTTCAAATGTTGCATACCTCCAGAGAGTCCTCTTTCAAAAGGGCTTCCAATCTCTGAAATAGTTTAAACCAAAGTAAAAGACTGGAGTCCAGACATATATAGTTTAAATGCTTCATGAAGCTTTTTGTTGGAAACCTACAGTGCACTTAAGATCAACATCAAAACAGTTAACATTTTCTTACTTGTATCCAAACACTTTCTGACATCTAAGTTGTCCACTATTTCTTCCACCTGCAATTTAGAAGAGTTTCAAATACATAAAAAGGGTCATTGAAACTAAGAAATAAAACCTATCACAGATCATTTGAGAGGACATGTACATGGTAAGCTACATTCCTTATGCACACCCAAAGACCTTCCAATATCTACCCAAAGAAAGAATATGTGGCAGAGTAAAGATGAAGAATTTAATTCTGTACTTAAATCTAATTGAAGTAATATACCTTATTCAATTTTTGCACCTTTGACATGGTATCTGGTAGACGGAGCATTGCAGAAAACTGAGAAAAAATAACAAATTAATTAATTTTATCAACAGCATAATTGCAAAACATCCAAACTCATCAGAAAAGGGTAACTTCATGGGCTCAGTATCTACACATAGAAAATAAAAAGGTTGTCTAAATTATTCTTACTGTTAGAGTATCTCGCAGGGTGAGGTTTGCAAAGAAAATATCATCTTGTAAGACATAACAAATTTTCCTTTTGAGTTTCCGGTTAAGCTTAGTCCCATTAAGAAGAATTTCACCATTATCAGGAGACAATCTTCCAGCAAGAGTGTTCAGCAGTGTTGTTTTGCCAGAACCTGCCCAAGTAAATATAGAACAAGATGATAAGTTCGAGAATTTGCAGTCTGGCTTATGCCCCTTCCACTCTGAGGGTCAAAGGGGATGAATTATTAGTTCAAGGACCAACACTCTTTTAGGCCAGCCACTGGATTAAGTTGAATTTTTGTAGAAAAGATAGAGGAATAAATAGACAGGAATGTTTAATCAGCGGGTGAAGAGTCCCAGCTTTTGCAAAGGTGATCAAAATCTAGAGATATTAAATTTTGGACCCAACACAAACTTAAACGAACTGAGGTCATGCACTTCAATCAACATATTCGTGTTGCCTAAAGTCCAAAATCAAAATATTCTCAAACCTTCCACCATCTCTTTATAGAGATAAGGTAAAATTCTCTTGATCTGTCCTCCATGGAAGAAAAATTGTCTAATGCATTTCGCTCCTAGACTGAGTTGTAGCCTCTAGATAGCGATTGAGTCATTCCTGATTTTTTTTGCCTTTCAAAATGGTGGCCATGTGAAATTTTCGACACAAGGACAGCACATGAGTGACGAAAGATACCATTTGGAGTCAAATTCCAGTGGTAAGGTAGTGCTAAGCTATGACCCCAAATCGACCCCAGGACTTTACATTGATAAACACATAATTTACTCAGTTATGAGATAATCTCTCCTCGTTCCGTATTACATAACACGCTCGACACGCTCCAATCTAAGTCTAGTCAAGTAACGCGCTCCTCAAAAGCAGGAAAATCGACTTTCTTCTCAACCTCGAGTCGTAAATTCCAAGAGTATTTACTTCTACTTTATAATGAGCCTTACTAAAAACAACAAAAATACAGGAGAAAAACTAGCTCACATCATTGTAAACTGCCGACTCATGATCGAATGGAAAAATAGTTATAATAGTAAAACCAACTGGTTCCGATCACGAGTCACATACATAAGCAGCCTTAGGTCGATGTATACATACTTGTTATTTCCACGACGCTTAACTCAACTCGTATAAAAGGTTGTCACCACTTACCACTGGGGCCCATCACAGCCAACATTTCCCCTGGCCGAATCTTCCCGCTCACATTTTGGAGAACTTCACGATTACTAATCTTTACGCCAAGGTTGTTGAATGATAGGAAAACAGGTTCATTCTCCTCTACTTCTTCGCTCATTTTCCTACTCCTCTCTATAGCTGAACTTTCAAGTTTTCAGGTTTTATCGGTCCTTACACCGCCCATCACAAACTGTTAAGTGTAATACGAACCCGCTAAAGCTTTTCATTGGTTACTCACATAGACTCACCCAATCACAACTCAGAACTTAATGAGTTAGTTGGAAAGAACGATAGCGATTTAACAAATCGTTGTACTTTAAAATGACGCAACTAACACTTTCGATCGGGTAAGATTTTTAAAGAAAGAGGAAAACTTATCTGTCGAAGTTGAAGTATTCAGCAAATGCGGTGTGTCATGCTAACTTGCATCTTCCAGGCGCAAATTTGTCAATGGACAAATAGTGTGCGTACATTTAAGAGAAAATTTGGCCAAAACTCGAACATTTTCATAATATGGTGGCAACAGCCAAAAGATCAATTTGGCTCATATTCTCAAGTTAGGTAGGCCTTTGAGTGAAACAACTCACTGCATACTTCGTTTGGCTGAATATCGATTTACTTTCTATAAAATCGATAATAACTGAATTTCGCAAAATGCCGCTCTCGAAGCTGAGAATTTCAGTCAAATCTCGGAGCGTCGCGTCACATAATGAAAACACCTGAACTGATGAAAAGTACCAATATCAAAGCATATGTTGACCGTTTATTTATACAATCTAATTAAATTTATCCGACCTATAAACTTCTTACTAGTTCAAAAATTGGTCAAAAGTAACCCGTTATTTAACCATGTGCTACCAAAAATAATTGCCTGAAAATCTGGAATTTGGTAGGCGTAGAGAAGTTCCTTTCGTTCTCCAAAGGAATTTTTGGGGAAATGATTCAGCGTGATTTTATCAAATTTTAAAGTTGGATAAAATGCGCCGATTTTACGGTGCCGTTTATTAGTCGAAAAAGTACACATATACACGCAAGCTCAATTGTTTCGCATTTTACGTCCATCATACAGCGCATTTAACATAATATCCTCTTACCTTCCATGTCACTGTTTTAAAGAAGAGGGCTATGGTCCTGAAATTACGGCATCGTTCACACAAAAGCAAAATAACTTAACAGGATAATCAACGCCTCCTGATCTTACTCTTACAAAGCGTGTTTGGGGGCTTTGATTTGAGGTTTCTCCATTCCCAACTTCGTTGAAAAGGAGAACATAATTACTTCACATAAGAGAACTTTGCTTTAATGTAAGTTCCTAACCAAACTGCGAACAGACAAATGTAGGCGGGATTTTGCTATTTATGAAACATGTTTCTCGTGAGCGGAATAACGCTTATGAATTCAAATTGAGGTCTAATGTAGTCGACAATTCCGTAAAAATGGAACACTGGACTGTGAAACATATAGGTCGAGTTTTAAATAAAAGAAACAGGAGCAAGCAATCACTTAACCCGACCATAATTATATGTATCATAGTTAAAAGTATCATTGTATTTGTATCATTGTTTTAGGCGGATAAAGCGAAAGATCTGCGAAGGACAAAGCCCATCACTGCAGATGTGGATTAGAGCAAAGTACATTGCTAGAATATTTGTTTATTAAAAAGAAGCTGTATTAGGGTCAAAACTGGAAAACCACAACTTTCACTAAAATGTTTGTACTAGCCAACGTTCGCCAGATTTACAATTATGCTACTTCTTCCCCAGCGGCTATGCCTTGTTAAGTTATTCGTGCCGGTAGTAAGACTACGAACCAGGTAGCACGTTCTCATATCCACATTTATATTTTCCAGGCAGTGGTCCGAAAAAGTTTACGTTTGCGGGTGATAGAACCATTTCTGCGTATCTCTAAACTCAAGAAACGCCTAGTGTAATCATTGCACCAGATTATACTGCTGACTCGTGTGCGAGAAGGCATACCTCACATCAAGGCGCAACATACATGTCCCTTGAGCGTTAATTGTACTGAAATCGTATATTTAAAACATTGGCTTTTAAAAGAATCAACAAGCAGTGATTTATCCCCCTTAAATAGAGTTGGGTCCAAAGCCATCACAGAATTACATGGTAATAAATATTATAGAGTGTAGATGGTGCGTAATGACACTTTTAACATATGCTTGTCGATAGTATGACCAGCACTTTACGCCCACTTCTAAAAAATAACATAACTTTAACCAGAAAAAAGAAAGTAAACAAACCCCTGTTGTGCTCGTCTCCTAATCTTTCGTTCCAGGTTAAGAAATTTAAGAAGTAAATGACTAGTTCTTATAGAAAGCCTAAAAAAGAAGCACTTCTCGTTCAGCTAGGTACGTTAGTAATCCGTCAGATTTGCCGGCAGGGCGCAGATCTTTTCGCAGGCTTGCATTAGACATTTAGTCCCTGCTTGTCAACTAATTTAAGGGCTGCTTGCGCTTGCTTGTTGTTGAAGATACGTCTAGCTCAAGTGCGGTACAAATCTCCCGTAGCATTCCTACGGAAAACTTAGACAGCTTGGGCTGGCACACAATTTCACAGATGTCGTATTTATCATACATGATTGGATGCTGAAGGGCGAAAGTCTTCATTACTTCCTCGGTCAGCTCTTGAATGTCTTTCTCTCTGTTTGCCTCATGTCTTTCAACATCTGAAATGTGAAACCCTTACCGTAGTCAGCTTCAAGTGTGTCAACCACCTCAGTTTTCCTATTCGTTAAAAGCCTTGGTTCAGGCTGCCGGAACATAGGCCAACCCGTGCAAGGATTTCCTCGTGAAAGCGGAACATACACTGAAAAATTTGCATAATATACTACGACCCATTGGCGTGAAACCCACGGCATCTTTGTAATAGCCAAGATACTGCTATACAATTTGCTCAGGTATGAGACTTCTCATCACATTGGGAATCTTTAATTCAACATTCGATGAAAGCTTTAATGTTTTTTCGCCAAAAGGTAGATCTTGTATTATGTGAGTACTTGTGGTAAATGACAAGAAATGATCGAGCTTCTGTGGAGCAATATACATCTTCGTGCCTTTAACAGAAGGAACCTTAAAAGCCGCGACCATAGAGCAATAAATGATGCCTAGTTATGTTAAAGCGGTACCTGGACAAGTTAGGCATCCTTCTCTTCAAATCCTTAAAAGTCATTTTGTCTGCCAAATGGACAAAATCTGTCTTCGAGTGCTCCAGTGAGTCGCATTTGTTATAACATTTGGTGAGACATTCCACCAGGGAGAGGTCGATATTAGTTTCTTCATGCTTTGATTTAATAAGCGAAGAGAGTAGCATTTCAGGCCAGGTCCTCAGAGGCAATTTCATTTTAACATGCATCAACAGTTTGTCGCGCCTTTCGGGTGAAATGCCGTTTTGTCCGTTCGGATGCCTCTACCTACGGTTTTCTTAAAGAATGGCGGATTGGACTAATATCCCTTGAAGTGAGGAACTCGTTGAGCTTTTCTCTCGGTGACTCGCTTTACTAAAGTAAACAGACTTGATGAGGCTCCTTCTCTATCTCTTCTTCCACTTCTTTCTGAATTGAAAAAAGGGAAGCAAATATAAACTCCAATCTCTTAAGATATTTTTTTGGATTAAAAACTCTTTCCAAAACATAACAAACCACAGAGCCGTAGCCAGACTTCAGAACAAGACGAGGCAAGGCCTCCCCCCGAGAAAATTTTGAAATCGAGAGCCTCAGAAATGCTCCTTTAAGCGTTTTCCGTGGCATTTTTCTTCAGAAAAGTCAACCTTGGGCCAAAATCGCCTCGTCTTGCCTCAAGCTAGCTACGGCCCTGAAACACTTACTTAAAGTTTCAAATGTAGATAACTCGAGTATAGAAAAGGACATCATTATTTTGTTTCGCAAAAAAGTCCTCTAACATTATCCGTCCGTGCTGCCATTGTCGTACTAACTGCATGTGAGTAAATCTTAGATCTAAGATACAACCTTCTTTTCAACGAAAAGTGAATAGTGAAACCTCAAACTTTGTAAACAACTAATTTTCAAGAGGCACTGACTATCCCGCCAAGTTATATCGCTAATGGGACAGCGATGCCATAATTTCAGTACTGCTTCGTCTTTTTACTTTTTTGATACAGCAACACGGAAGGTAAGATGATATTATGTCAAGCTTTAGATTGGACATGAAATGCGAAACAATAAGAGTTTGCGTGTGTATGTGTACTTTTTCGACTAATAAACGGCACCGTCAAATCGGCGCAATTTTTCCAACTTTCAAATTTGATTAAATCGCGCTGGATCGTTTCCCCAAAAATTCCCTCGGAGATCGAAAAGAAATACTCTACGCCTCCCAAAAGCCAGATTTGCGGTCAGTTATTTTTTTGTAGCACATGGTTAACTAACGGGTTACCTTTGACTTAGTTTTAAACTAGTTAGAAGGGGTACGATAACCCCAATTAGATTGTGAAAATAAATGGTCAAGAATTGCTCAAATTGCTGTCAATGTATAT